CTGCTAAGTAAGTTCAATAGTCATGGGATAAAAGGACAAATCCTCTTGTGGATCAAAAACTGGCTAATTGTTCATTAATGATTTGGAGTTGGAAGTAAGCAGTGAAGTGGCTAAATTTGGGGATGATACAAAGTTGTTCAGGGTGGTGAAAACCAGGGAGGATTCTGAAGCACTCAAAAGGGATCTGTCGAGAATGGGTGAGTGGGCGTCAACGTGGCAAATGGGCTTCAATGTGGCCAAGTGCGAGGTGATGCACATTGGAGCCAAAAATCCTAACTATAAATCCACGTTGATGGGGTCCGAACTGGCAGAGACTGCCCAAGAAAGAGATCTTGGAATCATAGTAGATAACAATGAAAATGTTGAGACAGTGTGCAACTGCAATAAAAAAAGGCCAATGCTATGCTGGGGATTATTAGGAAGGGGATTGAAAACAAATCAGCCAGTATCATAATGCCCCTGTATAAATTGATGGTGTGACCTCATTTGGAGTACTGTGTACAGTTCTGGTCACCACACCTCAAAAAGGATGTTATAGCATTGGAAAAAGTGCAGAAAAGGGCAACTAGAATGATAAAAGGGTTGGAATACTTTCCCTATGAAGAAAGGTTAAAGCACTTGGGGCTCTTTAGCTTGGAGAAATGATGGCTGAGGGGGTGACATGACTGAGGTTTATAAGATTATGCATGGGATAGAGCAGGTCAAGAAAGAAGTACTTTTCTAACTTTCTCCCAATACAAGAACTCGTGGGCACTCCATGGAATTGCTGAGCGGCCGGGTTAGAACAGATAAAAGGAACTACTTCTTCACCCAAAGAGTGATTAACACATGGAATTCACTGCCACAGGAGGTGGCGGCGGCTACAAGCATGGACAGCTTCAAGAGGGAATTAGATAAGCATATGGAGCAGAAGTCCATCAGGTATTGATAGGAACTCTCAGTATGGGGCAAGTGATGCTCTGTATTCTTGGTGCTGGGGGGGGGATCAGTGGGAGGGCTTGTAGTGTCCTGGCCCCACTGCTGGACCTCCTGATGGCACCTGGTGATTTTGGCCACTGTGTGACAGAGTGTTGGACTGGATGGGCCATTGGCCTGATCCAACATTGGCTTCTCTTATGTTCTTATGTTCAAGTGGATCTTTTGGGGCTGTTCTCTGCAAGATCTGAGATTCTATAAAATTAATCAGGGGTTCATCGTAGCGAGAATAATAATATTGGGCAAACCTTCAGACCAGCAGCTTCACCATGACCAACCTTCTCCTGCAACACAGAGATCCAGGGTCTAGAATGAACATTCACTGGGCTACAAATGACAGCCAAGGTTCAACGATTTCACTCTGCATGGTGTACAAAGAAGTGGGTATTCTTCTGCTGTAGGTTAAGTGAGATATCTGACAAAAGACACATGGCTTTGTGTAGAGGGGCCTCTGCCTGTAGACAAGACAATACCAATGCTCCCTCTAAGCTGTGGAGTCTTGTGAACAAAAATTCTACTTTGTGAGCCACTGGCATTAAAGTTGTGAGTGAGCAATTTCGCTACTGCATACATTAGTTTGCTCTGGAACCATCCTTCCTGAGCTAAGAGAGAAATGTGTGAGCTGTAAGTTAAAAAAACTGTGAGCTGGCTCACACTAACTCAGCTTAGAGGGAACACTGGACAATATTATCTCACTACTTCTAGTTTAGGGAAAAAATATCAAGTCTTCAATCATGTTGAGGGAGACAACATCTTCCATCCTTTGGTCATTTGTGATTCATCATCCATCAACTTCCTGGTCCAGATCAAAGAACAGCAACAAGGCAGACCCAGTGACTTCTTCCCAGTGACATCCTCATGGAACAGACTGACCAACTGACATCAAACAAAGAACAGCCAGCAGCAAAAAGGAGGTTGGGCAGGGCACTGGGCTAGTGGACATCCCCAAGTGGCTCATACAGGTCCATTTCTCCAGCTGAGGCACGGGGCAGGAAGGACACAAGTCCCATCAGTCTTGCAATGGGTGGACAAAGCTAGATGGAAAAACGCCAGTTCGTGTCCCATTGCCTTCAATGAAACCCACCTGAAAGAACAAACAAAATGGCAGCAAGACTAAAAGCAGAACAAAATGGGAGACAACAGACACAGAGAGGGTTGGGTGTGATGTGGTAGTTAGTGGGCGAGACTGGGACTGAGGAGGGGATGGTGCAAGTCCTCTCTCAGCCATAAAGCTGTGTAGATGATCCCGAGCTAGCCATTTTCTCTTACCTCACCTATCTCACAGGACAGTTATGAAGGTACAGTAAAGAGTTATGAATGATGGTAACAGTTAAGAAAGACCTAATGGTGTCCGGGGGAAAAGAAGCTGTGTCGTCGCGGTTGTTAAAATGGTGTCAGCTAGCTGCCATTAAGGATTGGGAAGCTGTTGGTTCCCCCCCCCCCCGTTTCCGTCGGGCATCTGCGCATGCCCTATCTTCCCTGTGTATAGTCTTCTCTCATGCATTCCTGTCTGCAAACGCTAGGCAACGCTTATCTGCAAGATTAACAGGTGTGTGGGGAGAGCTGCTTTGCTAACTGTATAATGAACTGCACCGTGTGAAGCTGTAATTGTTTAGGTTTAGGGACCGTTGCTTCTCAGGCTTTTGAGCGCGCAACCTGAAATCGGCCCGCTCGGAGGGAATGGAGATTATTGGTTATGGCCCTGTTTAAATGTATTACATTATTCCTTGCCCACCCTGACCCAGGCATTCTGGACAGTGAACTTGTTCTTGCTCTATCATGGCTTTAATAAAATACTACTTTGCTTAAACGTGTATTGGATTAATCGCTGTGAGGGAGACCGGACAAATGGCTATCGGAATTCTTACAGTTGGGGTCTCAATTATATGTAAATAAACCTGTTGAGTTCCTTCACTAATGGCTGTGATCAATTTTCTGGGGAACCTGGAGGATCTCCCTGAATTTCCATTATATCAGGAAGAAAAAACAGGATCATCTGACTGAATGGATGGTGGGAAGGACATCATAATGCCCAAGACTCCAGATATGATTGAAAGGCACATGACACAGCACCCTTGCCAAAGCTATGTAGGACTTGGTCTGATCAGTGCCTGGGTGGTGGGAGACCCCATGATGCTGCAGTTAAGACTGAAGTATATTAAATGGGTTATAAATATATTCATGATATGAGGGATCTGACTTCCTCAACAGAAATTACACAAATCTTGCTTCTGAATTACATGAAAATGGTTTCTTCGCGGGAAGTGATATTAAATTTACTAGCAGCAGCGTTAGCGCATCATTTGAAGTCAAGATATATAACTGATAAAAACAGACTGGTTAATAAAAGTGGGAGATGATGTTAAAATGGTAAAGGTAACAGCATTAAAACATTAGAAGAGGTTAGATAGTGGGGAGCGTCAATGGCAACTCATATTATGTTATACAGAGAAGGAGATGACTGGACATGGAACTAGCCTGTAAAAAAGGAGTATTTTATTTAAAGTATTTAATGGAATTGTGTATTAAATAATTTAATAGTGTATTTTGCATTTTTTCTAAAATAAAAGATTCCATGGCCAGAGTTGCTTAGAACCATAGCCATATGAACAGTTTCTAGATCCAGGTGGGTAGCCGTGTTGGCCTGAAGCAGTAGAACAAAGTTTGAATCCAGTGGCACCTTTAAGGCCAACAGAGTTTTATCCTGTTTCCATTTCACAGTGTGTGAGGAAGTATGTGTGCACACGAAAGCTCACACCTTGATTAAAACTAAATGATTAAAAACTAAATCTTCAAAAGTCTTGCAGCACCTTGAAACTTAACACATTTTTGTAAGGGTGGTGGTTCACAGCCCCCACTTAGTCTGATACATCCAATCTCATTTAATGGGCACAAAACAAAACAAAACAAAACTGGCCTGGGGATGTTCCTAAGTGAGGACAGGAGACCTCACCTTTGTTAACCTTTCTCAGCCTTTTAGGAGATGCTGACAGGTGAAGTGAGAATTCTAACCAGGGTGTGGAGACAGGATTGGTGGTGGTGGCAGTTTGGGATTCATTAATCTGAAACGTGCAACCCTTTGATTGCTTGTGAAGGGCAGAAGATGTGTGTTTCAGAGGAGGAATGGGGAACTAAAACTGAGACTAGAGCTCTCAGACCTTCAGCTCCACAGTTAGGGGTGGGCTGGGAGGTAAAAACGGCCCCCAGGTCTGTCCCAAGACCTACACCACAGCCCCGTAGCTAGGGAATTCTTTGGGAGGGGGCCTCGGGGGGCCACCAGCTAATTAAATGGAAGTACAGTGCAGTTGGTAAGTTTGGGGGCATCCCAGGAGGGAGGGGGCCCAGAAGAAACACTAGGGGGCTGGGCCCCGTGGGCCCCATGTTAGCTACGGGCCACACCACATCAGAGGTGAAGGAAAAGATGAAGAGGGCTTGCCCTCCAGTCCAGTCCTCTGATGGAGATGGGGAGGGAAGGAGTAGGCTAACCATAGTTTCTGCCTGCCCTCTTTGTCCAGCGTGGGGACTGCTGGCTTACCATGGTGGTTTGCACCAGCCTGACTTGCCTGGAGTGTGGGCTGCCAGCTTGCAGGGATGCAGGGCAACTGGCCATCGCCCCCCCCACCCCAGGACTTTCCCTGGAGGTTTCAATGGTCAATTCTCCCCTGTCCACAATGAGAACCTAATGCAAGACTCTAAATTTGTTTTTCTGGAGAACTCATGGCCACCAATGGGGGTGATACCACGCAGATTCCTGGCCACTCTTTGGCCCATGAAGACAGCCAAGGCATGTGGTTTGTTTTCATAGGGTTGGGTCTGGGTGACTGGAGGTGGCCTAGAGATAATTTTTGTCTGAGGACCAGTGTTACCCAAGCTGGAAGAAGTGATCGGCCTTGACCCTGTAGATTCAGCAGTGCTTACCCAATTCTGCTCATCCTCTTCTCGTGTGACCACAATCACCTCCCCCTTGGAGAAGGTAAGCTCTCGAGCCTTGTCCCCCTTGCAGTCAGCCAAAGCCATGGCCCTCTTTAGGCGTCCTTTGGCCTGCAGAAGCCAAAACAACCGTCACCACCAGTTCTATGAAGACCACTCATTCACTGGCTAAGGAGGCATGGGTATAAGCAACCAAGAAATGGGGAAAAGCCTACATTTGTAATGTCTACTTTCTGGTAACAGAAGACCACACTGGCAAATGCTGAGCTATATGGGGATCCCAAAATGCATGTTCAAAATGCTACAAGACATCTCAGAAAACTCACTGGAGCAAACCTTCTGGGCATTGGAACTGGAGGAGGAGTTTGGGCTACTGTTGGAGCCTTGAAGGATGGCAGTTCTTCTGGGCTACCCAAGCTCTGTGGAGAAAGAGGATTGCCAGACGATTTACCCACTGAGCCACTACTGATGCGCCGGTAGGATCGGGTACACTCTGAGCTGCAGAGGACGAGAGAGCAGAATGGCTTAGAACAGAGGTGTTGAACTCATTTGTTATGAGGGCCAGATCTGACATAAAGGTCACTTTGTTGGGCCAGGCCATGCATGCTATAAAATGTAACACAAGGTACCAGAGGTATAAACTTTATACAGGTGATTTCATATACCGAATGGCAATAGCAAGTGAATGACAATAGCAGGTTTGATCGGATTAGGTGTGATATGAAAGCGTGGAGATACCAGCATTGGTAATGAGACAGGAAGCCTAGGTCTCAGTTCAGTCCAGGAGGATGCAAAGAATAAATGGACATAAGTCTGACATTAGAAACCACAACATTCAGTTGCTGACCTAAGAGTAGCAGTGTTCTTATAAAGGAATTTCAAAGGCGGATTTAGAAAGAGAAACTGCTGAATTGCAATTGATAATGAAGCTCAAGACAATGCATCCTCCAGGACTGAACTGAAACCTAGTTTTCCTGTCTCATTACTAATGTGCGCTATTATCATTTGGCATCTGAAATCACTCCACTCCAAGATATAAGGACCATTCCAAGTGTTCTAATTCCTAATCAGGGTCTTTTTGAAAGAAAATAAAATCCAGATAGGAACAGAGAAATCCAATCTTTTTTTTTTAACTTTTCAGAATAAGACAAAATAATTTCCTCAGTGTAAATTGTACTTGTCAGAACAATCCATCCATCTATACTCCCTCCCTCTGAAGAAGTGTGCTTGCACACAAAAGCTTATACCTGGGATAAAACATTGTTGGTCTTAAAGCTGCCATGGGATTCTAACTTTGTTGTCTCTCTCTCTGTTCTCCGCCTCCCTTCCTCCTGAAAAGAGCAGCTCTGGAGAAGCAAGCAGAAGCTGTGTGTGTGTGAAAGAGAGAGCAGGGGGCTTTTCTTTGTATCTCTCCCATGGGGAGCAGCCACTGAGGGAGCTGGGAAAAAAACAAGCTATGGTGCAGCTGCAGGAGCAGCTCTGGTAAAGGAAGCAGGAGAAAGAAGTTGCTTGAGGGCCTGATCTGGCCTGCAAGCTGTATGTTTGACACCTCTGGCTTAGCAGCTATCACAACAGTAGGAAAATCCTTCTTTAAGTGCAACCAATGCATTGAGTGTGCTGGCCTAGTGTGGGAAGCCGGGGAGAGTTTGGCTATTTGGGTGGTATACCATCCACCCAATGCACCGGCCAATAGCCTACTGACCCTGATGGAGGCTATGTTGGGCTGGGCATTGGAGCACCCTAGACTGATACGCCTGGGTGAATTCAATGTCCATGCTGATGATACAGCTTACATTCAGGTGATGGACCTAGTGATGTCCATGGTGGTGCTGGGACTCTCCCAATATGTAACGGCCCCCCCACACCAAGCTGGACACACAATTTGATCTTCACAGCAGGGGTTACAGTAGACTGGATCACTGCTATGGCAGTACCATGGTCAGACCACCATGCCCTGAAGGCCCGTCTGAATGTGTCACCCCAACCCTGTTTGGGCGGCGAGTGCATTTTAGCTTGCCCGCGGAGCCAAATGGACCCTATTCGGCTTCAGATGGCTCTACGGGATCCGGTGCCCCCTGGCGGCTCGTTAGATGAGCTTGTTGAGGACTGGCACAGCTGACTCTCGGCGGCCATTGACAAGATCACTCCCTGACGCCCTCAGTGTCCTCACTCTAGGCTAGCTCCCTGGTTTACCCAGGAGCTGCGGCTGATAAAGGGGAGGCTAAGCCAGCTAGAGAGAGAGTGGTGGAACTCTTGTGACAAAGCCACAGGAACATCTTATAGAACGTTTATGAGGTCCTATGAGATAGCAGTCAAAGCCACTAAGAGAGAGTATTATGCGGCCACGATTGCATCTGCAAGCTCACGCCCAGCCCAATTATTTAGAACAATTCAGTCTATGACCACTTTGCCACAAGGCAGACCAAATGTTAGGGAATTGGACATTGGCTGTGAGGCTTTTGCGAGCTATTTCGCAGATAAGGTCTTGTGCTCCCCCCCGCCACAATTGAAACAATGAGCGAACTCGAGGCTACATTCACATCTTCGAGTCAGGTTATGGATTATTTCAGTCCACTCAACCTAGAGGAAGTCTACAAATTGCTCTCAACTGTGCACAACCACCATGTGCAGCCTTGACCCGTGCCCATTGTGGCTAATTAACGCTGGCTATGATGGGTTCCAAGATACCCTAACGGCAGGGCTATTTTTGGGCAGGAACACACAGGAACGGAGTTCTGGCTGGCTTCAGAGTTGGCCCCGCCCACTACAGCCAAAACCTCTGCGTGCGTGGCTACAGAGGGAAGGCTTGGAGAGCGACCCCCCGATTTAAACTGCCTTCCCTTCCCTTCAAGGGGAGGCTTGCTCGGGCTCCCCGCAGCTGCAGGGCGCCCAGGCAAGCCAAGGGAAGGCATAGGGGTGTGGCCTGATATGCTAATGAGCTGTGCTGTCAGAGGTGTGGCCTAATATGCTAATGTGTTTCTGCTATTGGGTGTGGCCTATTATGCTAATGAGTTCCTGCTGGGCTTTTTCTACAAAAAAAGCCCTGCCCAAAGGAGATTATTAATAAATCCCTTTCTGAGGGACTTTTCTCCAGAGCACTCAAGGAAGCAGTGATTCACCCTCTCCTAAAAAAACCCCATCTCTGGATCCAGCCAAATTGGCAAATTATCCACTGGTTTCCAGTTTGCCCTATCTGGGCAAAATAATTGAGAGGGCAGTGACAATATAGCTGCAGAGCTTTATGGACGACACTTTCATGTTGGAACCCTTCCAGTCCAGTTTTTGCCCAGGCCATGGGATGAAGACGGCACTGGTTGCTTTCATGGATGACCTCCTGAGACATCTGGATCAAGGCAGATCAGCGGTACTGTTGCTGTTGGACCTGTCAGCAGCATTCAACATAGTTGACCATCAACGACTGATCCACCACCTTGCCGACGCTGGGGTCCAGATGTCTGCCTTGCAGTGGCTTACCTCCTTTCTCCAGGGTTGAGGAGGGTTGAGGACAAAAGTGTGTCAGTAGGGGAACAGTTGTCCCAAAGGCACCCGCTGGTTTGTGGAGTGCCCCAAGGGGCAGTGCTTTCCCTAATGTTATTCAACATCTACATGCACCCCCCTGCCCAGATTGCCCAGAAGCATGGGCTGGGGTGTCACCAATATGCAGATGACACCCAGCTCTATCTGATGTTGGGCAGTCAGTCTGACTCCAGACTGGAAGATCTGGACCTGGTGTTACAAGCCGTGGCTGGATGGCTTAGACTGAGCCAACTGAAATTGAATCCGACGAAGATGGAGGTCCTGTGCCTGAGTCAGAGCGGTCTGGGGTTAGGGATCCCACTCCCAACCTTCGATGGAGGCCCAGGTAGCTGCCACTGCCAAGTCTGCTTTTTACCATCTTTGGCTGATTAGGCAGCTGGTTCCCTTCCTTGAATGCAATGACCTAGCAACAGTGGTCCCTGCGATGGGGACCTCGAGATTGGACTACTGTAGTGCTCTCTACATGGGGCTGGCCTTGGCATGAATCCGGAAGCTACAGCTAGTGCAAAATGCTGCAGCCAGGCTCTTGATGGGTCTCCCTATGCGGGAGCACATCCAACCTGTGCTAAAAGCACTGCACTGGCTGTCGATAGCATTCTGAATTTGCTTCAAGGTGCTGGTTCTTACCTTTAAAGCCTTTCCCCACCTGTCCCCCAGAGAGCACTGTGTTCAGGGTCCCAACAAAAGCCGCCCTGAGCCTGCTTTGGCGGGGAGGGCAGGATATAAGTTGAACAAACAAACAAATACCTAAATAAAACCACAGCACAGTGGTCTTGAGCTTTCCTGGATGTGAGACTCACCTTGACAGAGCAGCACAGGATCCACCAAGCTTGGTGGATTCAGAAGGAAGTTTGAGAACATCTGTGAGCCAACTAAATGGAATCTCACCTGAGTGTATGCTCCTCCTTAGTTGCAGGTATTTAGTATGTTGCAGGTATTTAGTGTGTGCATGACCAGAGACAGAAGCCAAAGGGCTTCTGGACTTGGCGTTCAGCCTGGGCTGGCAGCTGGTAGCACTGTGTGATCCAGCTCATGAGATTTAGGATCAGCCTTGGAGTTCTTTTGTATATTCCCCACCACCACCCTTTCGGTGTCATTGCTATTACATTATAAGATGATAATTTAAATCAAAGTCAGCCAAATCATAGGATACTTAAATCCAGTGACTGGAGCTGTGAACAAGCAAGGAAGATCTTTCTACAAACCTGAAAAGGGCTCTAGGTTTGCAGGAAAATGTGAAATCTAACAAAAAATATGTTTTTAAAAAACATGAAAATGATCAAAGCACCACCTGTAGCTTTAAGGAATGGATCCCCCTCAGTGGCCGTTGCTAGGTAACAACAGTATTCCAGGCTAGATTTCTGTGAGTAAAAGGGCCAAGGTCATTGTGGTCAGGCCAGACTAGGATTGCCAGCTCCAGGTTGGGAAATTCCTGGATATTTTGTGGTGGAGACTGAGGAGGAAAGAGGTCTCAGCTGAATATAATGCCATAGAGACCATCCTCCAAAGCAGCAGGGGGACAGATCTCCAGGGAGATCTCCAGTTCCCACCAGGAGGCTGACAGCCCCAGGCCTGGAAGCAACCTCTGGGTGACTTGATATCACCTGACCTGCATGACTCAACTAGGCCTGGCTGCTTCCTACTGTTTAACAGCAGCCTCCCTATGAAAGCCAGTGTGGTGTAGCAGTTAGAGCTCAGAGCAGGGTCTGGGAGACCCAGATTTGAATCCCCATCTTGCTGTGGAAGCTCACTGGGTGATTTTGGACCAGTCACATACTTTCAGCCTAACACAGCTCACAGGGTTGTTGTGCAGATAAAAAGGAGGAGAGGAGGATAATGTAAGGTACTTTTGCTCCCCACTGTGGAGAAAGGTAGGGCATAAATGAATAAATAATAAGTATAGCTGAAGATGGGAGTGGGTTGGTGAATGGCTGAGAAGGAGAGAATGAGGAAGGGAAAGGGGATATGGGGTTTCCCACAAGAAGGAAAAGTAGAAATATTACAGGGAAGGGGATACCGGGGAAAGTGAAGTGGGCCAGAGTTTTCCTAGATAGTGGCTGCTGGGGAGGGGGGAGCTTAAGACAGAGGGGCAGATAAAGGTAGGATGACTGTTGGGTGGGAAGGAGAAAAGGAAGCAGGAGAAGAGGAGAAGCTATGCTTTCAGGAAAGGAAAATAGGAAATAGTGGGGAAGGGGGAAATGAGATGCCTCCTGCAAGTCCTTGCAGGTTCCCACTTGTGTATTTCAGATTCTTTAGGCCTAAAAATGTAGCTGGGCCCTTTGAATCCCCAATGGAGAAAAAAACAGGACAGAAATGTCTAATTACTGGATCAAGTTCAAGGTTTTGGTTCTAACTTCTAAATCCCTATGTTGTCTGGGACCAACATACCTTCAGGACCATCTCTCTCGGTATGTCCCTCAAAGAGCGTTACACTCTATGGATCAACATTTACTAGTGGTCCCTGACTCAAAGGAGGTCCACTTAACCTCAACCAGAGCCACAGCCTTTTCAGCTCTGGCACCAGTCTGGTGGAACACTCTCCCAAAAGAGATCCAGGCCCTGCGGAACCTAATGCAGTTTCACAGGGCCTGTAAAACAGAGGTCCCTGCCACACGGCAGAAAAAAACACGGGCAAAGTGCGGCTATTCAGAGCTGCACCAAAAGAAACACATAGCGGCGGGATCACATAGATCCCCTGAGCCGCCGCGCTGTTGCTCCCCGGCACGATCAGATGCCGGGGAGGAAGCCACCGAGCGGAGACCGAGACAGCCGACTGCGCATGTGTGCGCATGCGCAGTTCGGCGAGGAGCCTCGGATGCGCTGGCAGAAGGATGCGCCGGTGATCCCACGGCCGCGCTTGATGCGGCCTTTCTGGTAAGTCCACCTCTGTAGGTGGCTTATTTTAAGTACGGATTTTCGGCCTGAAGGGCCGGATCGGGGACGGGTGTGTAACGCTTCCCAGATGTTGCGGAGGGTTCGCGCCCATTTGCTGCGGTTCCAATCCGTCCCTAAACCTCCCATGTGACCGGGCCAGAGATGGTTTATGGTTGAGGTGGCAGATATCTATTAGTACTGGCCTCCCCCTGCATGGTTCCATCTTGCACGGTTCCGTTTTGTTTGCCCACTTCCCACAGTTACCATCTAATACACATATGTAGAGTTGATTTAGGAGTAGTTGTATTTTATTGGTGCAACTGATTGCTATTAGATGCTATTATTTACTGAGGTTATATTGGATTTTTAATGATTTGCTGACATTGATTATTATATTGTATTATTTTATTTATTGTTGTAACCCGCCCTGAGCCTTGCCGTGTAGAGGAGGGCAGGCTGGAAATCAAATTAAATAAACAAATTAAATTGCATAGACATGAAATAATAGTAGCTGCTGTCTGAATTATTTGGCTCAAAACAGATGGGAAAGGAAGGCAGCTTTTAATGGAAGTCGTAATCTAGGATGTTTGCAGTTCTCTCCAGAATATGTAAGACCAACTGTTCAGATATGGTGTTAACATAGGAGATATCCTCCCTGCAATCTCTGACAGTGAACTCAAGGTCCCACCTGAATTTGACTGGGGTTGCTTGATCAGGGGATGTCCCAGGAGAGGGCTGTTGCACCATTATCTGATTTGGCTCCGATCTTCTCCGCTGGGATCCACCTTCCATTTCTGAGCGGGTTTCCCAGTAGGCTGTGCCTTTGACTTCGACAGAGTTACGGGAACTACAAGGATGCCGGGACATGCCACTGTCCGTCATGCCAGGAGCACTGGTAATGGATACACTCTGAACATCTGGGATATCTGGTTGCTGAGGCAGAGGCTCAGAAGACTCTAAAGGAAAGGAATGTGCTCATTCAGCCGCAGAACCCGTATTTTTTATAAACCCGTATTTTACAGACACCCCTTGTTTCCCAAAACAAAAGGCTAGCAAAACGAGATGTCCGTATTTGTTTATGCAAGTCGCACTTCTTTTCAGAGGACTGTGTTGTCCAAAGCGTTCAAAGTATCACTCAGCTAAGTGGGGAGCCATCCTGCAGTGGACGACTCCTTGACACAGAGGAGGGCTCTGCCCTTAGCTGAACTGAGTGGTTGTTGTACCACCCGGGAAGAATGCCAGCTGCCTCCAGAGAGAGTCCATCCAACGCTATTTACAGGATGGATCGTTATTCAATGATAAAACCCACACTTTGCATGCAGACAGTGTGACCCTTGGCATTTCCAATTTAAGACCCCAGGGAGAAGATGCTGAGAAAAAGCCCCCACCAGAATACTTGATAGAGCTGGCCAGTCAGTGGCTATTAGCCACAAGGTATAGATAGGGGCTCTGGGGCAAGTGATGCTCTGTCTTCTTGGTGCTTGGGGGGGTCAACAGTGGGAGGGCTTCTAATGTCCTGGCCCCACTGGTGGACCTCCTGATGGCACCGGTATTTCTGGCCACTGTGTGATACAGAGTGTTGGGCTGGATGGGCCTTTGGCCTGATCCAACATTGGCGTCTCTTATGTTCTTATGAGACCCCACTGGTCTATTTCCTCCCCAGGACCTCTGCCCCTCCCAAGGCTTCCCACTTCCCTGCTCTCAAAAGTTCCCTCCCAGAACAGCTTCTCTTTAAAAAAACAAACAAACACAAAACTACATCAAGTCTACGCAAGTGCAATATGTGCCCAACATGCAGTAACCCTTTTAATTGCTAAGCACTGCTTACCCACACTGCTCTGCCCTGGTTTTGTCTTCACACCTGCTCTGATAGGTTTTTTGATGGGCAGTGGTGGAGGGATCTCCTCGCTGTTCACTCTGTGTGGACCAGACTGTGAGGGGACAAGGACAGCCTCATAGGTCCTGTTGCTGATGTCCATGCCTGCGGAGCTCCGTCGGTTGTGAGCAAAGAGGGCAGGCTGTCCTGTGGTTGGGGAGGGTGAGGACCCAAAAGACCACTGCAGTGGGCTCACCTAGAAGAGGAGGCAACAAAACTCTTTCCATACCTTCTAGTTACCCACCACAATCCTCCCGTGCTCTCATTCAGCCCATTCCCAAAAGGACCAGGTCTAAGCTATAAGACCATCTCTGTCCTTGGCAGAGTTACCAGCCTCAAGGTGGGGCCTGGAGAGCTCCCCAAAATTACAACTGATCTCCAAACTGCAGAGATCAGTTGCCTGGAGTAACTGGCAGCTTCAAAGAGCAGGCTCTACAACAACACATCCAGGTGGAGCTCCTTCTCCCCTCAAATTCTGTCGTCCCAAGTGCTACCCCCAATTTTCCAGGAATTTTTCAAGTCCAAATTTATTTATTTATTTATTTCATTAGATTTTTACCCCGCCCTCCCAGCAAAGCCGGCTCAGGGCGGCTTACAACAAAATTGGCAGCCCTAGTGCTCGGCACACTGTAAACCACTGTGCCAAATAAAGTCAGGTAAGAGGATGCCCAGCCCCATTCCTTTTGGTAACAGTCAAGTTCAAAACCTTTATTGGCATAGATCCGAATCATACACAATCGCCATTCATTTCATGGATTTAACACACAGCTTCCTCATTATAAGGCAGTTACAGAACTTAGCAACCGCTTCAATAACCGCTATATTTTGTGAAGCCACTAAACGATACAACATTCTGTCATCGGATTGCTTGGCATCAATCTTAAGAATATCTTCTAAATAGGTTGCCCGAATGTCCTCATACAAACTACAATAGAGAAATACATGTTCAATTGTTTCTTTGGTAACAGTCATCTGAGTGACATGTTTTTATGAAGTTACCGGGGAGGGGAGGGCAGAATTGGTTGAGCTTGCAGATTTACTTGTTTCTATTTTATTTAAAACATTTCTGTGTTGCCTTCCACCCAAGGTGGTGATTTAATTAAAAGGCCCCTGATGAGAATCCCCCCATAATTCAAATATTACTACAGACCCCCACGTATCTGTGATAAAGAAGAGGCAACACTCCTAGTAGAAAGCAGGAAGGCCTGTAAATAAAGAAAAGGGCTGAAGAGAAAGAAAGGGCAAAACCAGGAACAGACCATGCTAGGTGAAAGAAGGGGGCAGAATGTGCAACCCTGCTGAAGGCCTCCAAGCAGGGTTTTCCTTGTGCAGCCTCAGGCTCAGCATTCTGGGAGATTGACCCAGGACCTCCTTTGACTAGGGCAGCCAGGAGAAGACAGCAGTAATTCAGGATGGGGAGAGAGAGAAGAGCTTGGGACTGGCATGGTCTGGAGATATAAGATCAACATGCTGAGCTGTCTGGCCCCATCACCTTCTCATCCAGCTCATCTTCACTATCGTAGGAGAACTCCTGAGGGGCTTCCCAGTCATAGTCCACATGTATCTGAGGAGCAAGCTTCCCTTCCTGCGCCTGCACCAACTGCAACAGAAAAAAAGGGGGGAGGGGGATGCTGCAGTCAGTTTGTCACCTGGGGTCCTTGTAGAGATGCTCAAACACCTGCCAGTTCAAGCTCACATCCTGTCTGCTGTTCACAAACAGGGAGCCAATGTTTTGATGAGCAGTATGACTGTGGACCTGTTAGTGACTGTTCAACAGGGCGCTTCCCCGTATTCCTTCCTAATGGGGCAGTACAGCACAACTGGCTTTACCTGCAGTTGTGGTTGTCATTTTCTCTGCTGTGCCACCGAAGGGCTTTTTCAGGAATTGTTTAAACAGTTAGTAATGGCTATTGTGAAAACGCAAAAGTACTACCAGTCCTGCCATGTTCTGAATCCTCAGCTTTCATTAAAAAAACAAAAACCAGTCTGTAGCCCTTTTCCCTTTCAGAGCGAACAACATTTAGAAAAAAATAAGCACTCAGGCAAAAACCTGGTTTAAAAGGAAGGCTTTTTCTGGCTTCAGAGTTTCATGAGACTCTGCACTAGATTAATAATAGAAGTGTCACAATAGAAAAAGTTCCATCTCTCATGGCCAAATAAATGAACTACCTCGGCAAATTTGCATGGGCCAGCATGGTTTGCCATTATCGATGATTTTGTTAAGGCCAAGATACGGATTTTTCAAAATTCATAAGGCAAGAAAATTAGCCCCCGGGGACCCTTTCCTTCTACACAGACAAGACACACCTACCAGATCTTCACACTCTGCATGCTTGTACTTTCTTGCCACATCCAAGGGAGTCTCACCTGCTGCATTCACTAGACAAGGAGAGGGGCATGGAAAATGTGAAGAAAACGTGACAAATATATTTAATATTTCCATAATGGTTTCATTGTTTTTCATTGTTCTAAGTGCCTCATGTAACATTACTTTGCTCCTCCTGACCACAGCCCTGTGATGAAGGCCAGTATCATTACCCCAGATTACAGATGCTGAAGTTAGACTACTGAACTAGAATATTCTTTAATTGTTCTCTTTTCCCCATTATGTTACAACCAACCATGATCAAGGAAATCTCGAAAAAAACCACCTGATTTATTTTACTTCACTTATACGCTTGCCTCTCTCCCCAATGGGGACCCAAAGTGGCTTAAATTGTTCTCCTCACCTCCATTTTATCCTCACAACAACCTTGCAAAGTAGGTTAGGCTGAGTATGTGTGACTGGCCCAAGGTCACACAGTTTCCATGGCAGGGCAGGGGGTTCGAACCTAGGATTCCCAAATCCTAGTCTAAGACTCTAACCACTATACCACACTGGCTTTCAAGGTCATTCCAAATGTTCTGAGAAACACCCTTTGACCAAGACAACATCTAAGAAAATCCCCTGAAACTATCTGGCACAAGGAATAGAGGTCTCTCTGTTCCACCACTAAATAGGAAGCATTTTAGAACAAGGTCTGCATGGAGAACCAGTGCAGCGCAGCAGTTAGGGGAGTGTGTCTACAATCTGGGAAACCTGGTTCAAATCTCCACTGCTCTGACACTTGCTGAGTGACCTTGGGCCTGTCACTCACCTTCAGTCTCCCCTCTTCTTACTGAGTTCTTGGGAGAATGCAAAGGGGAAAGGAAAACCACATATACCACTCAGAGCTGCTTGTAGGAAAGGCAGGATAAAATAGACAGGCTACCTGGGGGGAAAGCACAGATCAGAGTTCCTTTCTGGCTCCCCTATGCAGGTGTCTGGTTGGGGAATGTCCCTCTGAAGGAGGGGAATCAGGCCCTGGCGGCCTCCTCTAAAGGATGAGCAACAGGAAAGCAAGCTAACATAAAATCCCCCGTGGAATCTTGAGCTCTGGCTGGCTGTTCGCCACAAGCTGCATCTGTATATGCTAAATATGTAAGTCATCCAGAAGGTTCAAAGTAGGCACTCCATTAGAGTTTCATGCACAGCAGTTCCTCAGCTTGATCTCTGTGCTTCCTATAGACAGCTATTACTGAGCCCTGCTCACAAAAGCACACTACCTGCATTTATTGAGGCCTTCCCTTTCAGTAGCAGCTTGAGACAGTTGGGCTGATTGTACTGGGCCCCATAATGCAGGGCTGTGTTCCCATCAGGAGTGGGTCCATCCAGATTCCCCCTGTGCACAGAAGACAAAGCAAGCCAAACACCCCCCCCCCCAAATCCAGGTTTAGTTTTAAAAAGAAGACCAAGTTTCCAGTCCTCATGGCCATAAAAGGAGAGCGTTCCTTTCGGCCACCTCCTCCCCCAGCCCTCTCCTTACCAAAGAGCAGGAATAATCTATCTCGTGAAATAATTTGTACAGAATTAACATATGTAAATATGCAGTATTTTCATAAAATAAATGGATTTAGCATTCTGACTTCAAGGGTGCAAAAGCCTGATGTATGTCAGAAAGGGCCCTGGGTTTAGTGGGGGCGGCCCTAGCTCAGCCAGGCCTTGCTGGCAGAAAGTCCCAGGTTCAGTCCCCGGCTGCTCCACTTAAATGGGCAGCTGGCATTAGGAAAGAATGTGGAGTCACTGCCAGTCCGAAGTACACAATACTGGTCTACATGGGTCAGCTCCGTACAAGGTGGATTCATCAGGAGACAAAAGGAAGCATAGCTCCCCTAACTTTCCCAGCTTCACCTTACCCATTCTGAATGATGAAATCCACTAGCGGAAGGGAGGACTTGCTGGTGCAGCGAACAGCTAGATGCAGGGGCAGTTCTCCTTGCTCCTATCACAAGGGAAGAAAGGGAACAGCGTGCAAAACCTTCTGTGCCTCAGTGCCACTAAAATGAGTTCAATCAGTTCAAAGGTGGAAAAAGTCACACACACAAATGATACAATGGGTATACAGTGTACATTGCATAGCTGTGCTTTTGCTAGGGGTCTCCTCTTAGCACAGACTCATCACCATCCAAGAACCAAGAGGATGTCCAGCCAGGACTGCATTCTTGGTAGGCTCACCCTCAGACCCAATCCCCTCCCCTCAAGAAACTGAGGAGAAAAATGGCCTCTATAAGGATGTTCTAGGAATTTCTCCATGTCTCTATGTTCTTTACCATAGGAATTAGGGGAAATTCCTAGAGTGTCACCCAAAAATGATGCCACATCCTCCTCAGGCATTGCCCTCAAAATCTCCCAGTATTTGCCAAGGCAATGCTGGCAACCCTAATTCTTTACATCTTACTAGCTCCAGGGTCTTTTTTTGACCCCCACTTCCCCTGTATCTTTCTTGACATATTCTGCATGGCCCATTTTATTGCCCTCACCTGGCCTTCAGGGCTGGTGAGAGGTTTGGTTAGATCATGACCCTCTGCAAAGGCCTGAAGCAGTGCCAAGAGATCCCCTGAACAGATTGCTTCCTGGAGCCGGTAACAGTCCTCTTTGCCAGCTTTGTGAACGTACTTGCGCTCCATATATTTTGCCATGATGAATTCCTTCCGGGTGCTCCTGGGGGAAGAAAAGAAGGACACTGTACTTGCTTCAGAGTCTTGCAAGTTGGAAGAAGTGGCCCATCCATCCAGAGCACTGTTATCCTGCCCTCGCTCCAAGGACCTCCGGGTGGTGTGCAGGCTTCTCCCTTCCTTCTTTCGTAGGTGAGGCGCAGGAGAGTGACTGGCCCCAGGTCACCCAGCAAGCTTCACAGCAGGGTGAGGACTTGGAAGCCAGCTCTTTCAGATCCTAGTCTGACATGCAAACATTACCTTGGTGCTAGTGGCAATCAAATGCAACATCGTGCTTGTAGCCGAACCCTAGAGTTGGAAGGGGCAACTGGTAAAGCGGCACCTCAGTCCTGAGCCTATTCCACTCTCCTCTTTCATATACCACAGGATGGGGGGGGGGGCTTGTGAAAGAAACCCTAAAACTTACTAAGGCCCAAGAGTGCCCCCTAGAGTGTCTGGGATCTTGGCCCCCTGGAGGTTTCCATTAGAATGACTCATTCATTTCCATTCCAAATACTGGACCATCCTGGCAGACTTAATCCCTATTGGACAAAAGGCAATCCCGTTTGGCTCAGACCACCTATTTGTCATGTTTGATGGAGGTGGGGCTATATTTTATATGGCTCTGATTGGTAACATTAGCCCCTGACATCAGAGATACGGATTTGCCTGGGATTGGAGAAATCAGTTTATCACTCTTAACTTAAGAAAGGAGGCTGGCTTAGGTCCAATTCCATTTACTATAAATATCTGGACATTTGGAATTTTCCCTTGTCTTCATTTTTCAGTGGAAACTGGGTCCACAGGAGGTTGGGCCACTGAGTTAATGATCCCTTCAACCTCTTGTTACTGCAAGAAACTCTGCACATGCTCTGAGGAACCCGCTACAGTTTAGGTAATGTGTGTCTAGCTTAGCTAGTTTAACAGTACCACTTTTCATTTAATTTTCCCTGTGCTGTTGTTGCTGTGTGCCTTTCTATCCTGTCACTTTGTTATAGTACTACACTGGAAAGGTGCTTTCTCAACAGGTCAGTCTAGATGTTCTCAGGAGGTCCTGAGTGGTGGCAGCGGGTGACCAGCGTGTCTGAGAGAGTTCCCCAGCAAAGTAAGTCACAATTTCCCCCTTCATACCAGAACAGGGCTTCTCATCCATCCCAACTAGACCCTTTCCATGCTCTCTTTTTGCACATTCCTCCATTTTTACTCACATATCGCTGCTTGAGGAGGGTTTCAGGCTGCCTTGTTCCAGCAATGTGGCCTCCATGACTTCATTAAATTTGGCATTTCCAATGCTGTTTGCCAGCTATACAAAAAGAAGGTAGGAGCAGTGTGTCACTAGAGGGGAAACCAGCCCCCCATAAAGGGGTCAAGGAAATCCATAGACAGAGGGTTTTTTCCACAGGTACCCACTGGACTAGCTAGCACCACAGTCTAAGGTAAAAGAAAACCGGATGTCATTGCATATGCCTCTGCTAACTAGGTGGCTGGTGACCTCTGCTTTACTGCCATACCACTGATGGGAAAAACCACCATCCCCTTCGACTGGTTTTAGGCCACATCAGTTCCTACAACTGCAATCCAGGAGGCAGTTGGAGTAGGCTTGCCAAGTCCCCCCGGGGGGCGGGGAAACCCCCGCCCCAGAGGCCCGTTCCCCGCCGGTGGCGGATCGGGCCCCGGGGGGAACTCCACCCCTACGTGCACGTCACCCGGAAGTGACGCGGGCACGCTGGGCACGCTGGGGGCGGGGCCATGGTCATCCGAGGGAAAACTCTAAAAAAAACAGTTAGCTATAATCAAGATTATAGGTCCAGAGGATTGAGAGAAATCCCTATGGAATATGACGTGATTAAACATAAACTGAAGGAAGAAATTAAGTCATACGAACAGAGAGATAAGAGGAAGATGGGACAAGCTATTATATGCTGCCAGACAAAATGATTCATACCTCTTTGGGGAGGTTATTTGTGAGGGATATGCAACATCATAAAGGTAAAAAGGTAAAGGTTTCCCTTGCTCGAAAGCTAGTCGAATCTAACTCTGGGGGGCAGTGCTCATGTCCATTTCCAAGCCGAAAAGCCAGCACTGTCTGAAGATGTTTCCATGGTCATGTGGCTGGTATGACTAAATGCTGAGGCACACGGAACACTGTTACCTTCCCACCAAAGCGGTACCTATTTATCTACATGCAATTTCTTGCTTTCAAACTGCTAGGTTGGCAGGAGCTGGGGCCAGAGATGGGAGCTCACTCCATCATGCGGCACTAGGGTCTCAAACTGCTGAACTACAGACCTTCTGGTCCGCAGCTCAACCTCTTAACCTCTGAGCCACCGCGGCCCCAATATGCAACATCTTACTCGTCATCAAATTATCATATTACAGCCCTAGAGTGGGAATAACACTTTGCGGCTTTAGTTTCAACTGCTACACAAGAAGTTATATCCTCTACAACTGCAGTACGGTTACCAGAGTGGCCTCCCATCTCAACATCCAATATAGAGAAATTAATGACTAAGCTAAAAAATTAACAAAGCTCCAGGAGGTTATTATATGCCTGCTGAGCTGTTAATTGTTTTCCCGAGTACTGTTCCTTGCAGCCTTGAGTTGCTCTATTGGGACGGATAGTATTTTATCTCAATTCCTACTCCAAGTGGACATAGGTATCTGAAATTAACAACTGAAACAAAGCAGGAGCTATTGACAACTTGAAAAGGGAAAACTGAAATTTAATGACAGATTGATAAATAATAGTAAATAGGTTTGGAAGCCCCAGCTCCAATCACAAGATGAAGGAGGAGGTACATCACAGATTATCCAACAGGTTTCTAAAGAATTTGACTTGAAGAAAATCAAAACATTCTATATGACCAGTATACCACACTGGAGCAGCAGATCTAATGACCAAATGTACAATTGCTCTATAAAGCGTCATAAGTGCCAGAATAAATTGCCCTCTTCTACAATAAAATAAATTTTTAAAGAAAATAAAGGAGGAGTTTAACTTTTGCATTAACATATGGATATGCAAATCCCCAGAGAGATTTTGTGTAAACATAACCCCAAGGTACTTGAAATTCCTTACTATCTTGATTGAGTTTCCATGCAAGGATAAAGAATGCATCCTTTTTAGTTTGGATTTAGAGATAAGTACCTTCGTTTAATCAAAGTTTATTTCTAGATATTATTTGATGCAGAAATCATAAAACTCGTTTAATATTTTCACTAAACCTGAGAAATTATGGGCTAATAAAACTAGATCATCTGCATATGCTAAATAAGGTACAGGCTGACCACTTAGCTGAGGACAACAGGATCTACAGTCCTTGCTAGGATGAAAATCATTTATATATATATACAAGGGGGGACCCGCGATACTCGCGGGGGGTGGTGGTGGTGGTGGAGGGAGGCAGAGGAGGAAGCAGCAGGAGGAGGTAAGTACCCCCCCATCCTGCTGGTTCCCCCCTGTCCTCCACCCCCCCTCCCTCTCCCCCCATTGCCTCTCCCCCCCAGCTCCTCTTCCCCCCCCAACCCGGCACTGAAGCCAGGGGCCCCCTCGCTGTTTCCCTCCCCCCTCCCAACCCAGCACTGAAGCTGGGGGCGGGCGGCTCCCTGCTCCCCCCTCCCTGCTTCCCTC